ATCAGAGACTTAGGCTACATAATATTTCATTCTCTTTAGTTTCTTAGTTCCTCAATTCGTACACATTTTATATAATGCTTATGATTATATATTTATCTAATGATTTTTTCTCATTCTTATAAACTATGAGAAAGAGAAAAATGGCATTCATTTTTATTGTTTTAGAAGAAGTCATTTGAGTGATTTTACAGTAGTTGTTGCAGAAGGTAGGAAGACAGAGAAGACCAGCTCACTCACCACCACCATTTTTCCATCCACCAGCTTTCTTGTTATGGTGGTTTCTTTGCCATTCCAGTCCTGAACTTGAATCAGGGACCCATTATCTAAGGTTACTTTATTCTGAAAACAAAAACAAAAACAAAAACAAAAACAAAAAACTAAATTCAGATCAGATTGTTTTATTTCAACACTAAAATTTTATCAGATGCCAAATTCTTTTTGGTTGTTGTAATATTCTCAGGTAGTTTTAGAATGGTGTTGACAATCCCACTGATTTTAATATTTTGTCAGCAGTAAATTTGTTGGCTAATTCTGCTGAAGAAAAAAGGTTTTACAAGAGTAAACCTGTAATAATGTTATATTGAAGAAACGTTCTTTTTTTTTTTTTTGAGACAAAATTTCGCTCTTGTCGCCCAGGCTGGAGTGCAGTGGCATGATCTCAGCTCACTGCAACCTCCGACTCCCTGGTTCAAGCAATTCTCTTGCCTCAGCCTCCTGACTAGCTGGATTATAGGAATGCGCCACCATGCCCAACTAATTTTTGTAGTTTTGGTAGAAATGGGGTTTCACCATGTTTGCCAGGATGGTCGCAATCTCCTGACCTTGTGATCCGCCCACCTCTGCCTCCCAAAGTGCTGTTATTATAGGCGTGAACCACCATGCCTACCCATGAAATGTTCTTCTTATCTTTGTGTAAGCATAGTATTATCTTTTTGCATAGAGTTACAAATACATTTTAACTTTCAAAATAAATGTGAAACTCCAGCCTGGGCAACACAGTGAGACCCCCATCTCTACAAAAAATAAATTAGCCACATGTGATGGCATATGCCTGTAGTCCCAGCTACTCTGAGGAGGCTGAGGTGAGAGAATCACCTGAGCCCAGGGGTTGAAGCTGCAGTGAGCCAACATTGAACCACCACACCCCTGCTTGGGTAACAGAGGCCCTGTCTCAATAATAATAATAATAATACATGTGAAACTAATTCAAACTCTCATTATATGAGCTTACTTAAAGAAGGCCTCTTTCCTCTTCTTACCCCAATAATATTTTCCATTGTGTTGTTGTTGTTGTTGTTGTTGTTGTTGTTGGAGATAGGGTCTCACTCTGTCATCCAGGCTGGAATGCAGTGGTGCAATAATGGCTCACTGCAGCTTCAACCTCCTGTGCTCCAACAATCCCCCCACCTTAGCTTTCTGAGCAGCTAGAACTGTGGGCATGTGCCACCATAGTGGCTAATTGCTGTATGTTGTGTAGAAGCGGGGTCCTGCTATGTTGCTCAGGCTGGTCTCAGGCTCCTTCCTGGCATTAAGTACTCCCACTGCTTTGACCTTCCAAAGTGCTCGTATTACAGGCATGAGCCACTGCACCCAGCCTAGCTTTTTTATTCTGGTAGATGTTTAAGAATTTCGCATAGAAATCCATATTAAGCATTTAAGTCAAAACTTTTCTTCCATTTTATATGGCACAAGAACTTAAACTCTCAGATTCATTTAGTAACTATTACCATGGCGTAACAGTTCCTTTTATCAGGATACTACCCTCCATATAGTTTAACAATTCTCTATTGAGCTCATTTATTCAAATAACAAATATTTATTGAATGACTGTTTTGACCAAGCACTGTGTTCTGTGAAACAGACAGGAAATCCTGTTTTGAATGAGCTTACATTTTGGTGTAGGGAAAAAGACTGTAAACAATAAGTATAGAAGTAAATTACATATTACAAATAAATAATATATTCCTGAGATATGTGCCCCTGGGATATGAATGAAAACTCTGTGTAGCACTTTCAGGGTGAGGCAATAAAAAGCCCAGTGTCTCTATGTCTACCTTAGTTTTGGGCAAGACCACAATTTCTGCAGGTAAAGATACAGGGTAGTTGAACCTCTTTTAACCTGGATCCCTGAGAGATTAGGAGGAGCCGATTTCCTGTTTACTCCACTACACGCACACAAACTTCCCCAATGCCACCTGACACTATGGATGTACTGTAAGCTAGAAATAAATCCCCATTGTGTTAAGTCACTGCAGGCTAATGTTCATTGTTATGGTGGCATGACTTTATCTATACCAGCTAATACAAGGTTTATTCACTGTAATTCTATGTGTGAAAAACTGCTACAAAATAGATAGGGAAACATTTGTTTCTGAGAGGACCAAACAGTAATCTAGGGAAATGATTCTCAAAATGTGGTCTGCTAAGCATGTACATCAGATTGATTAAAAATGTAATTTTCAGGTGCCTACCCCAGACATCAGAGCCTCTGGGAATGGCAGTGAGCAGGAGGCATTTTTCACAAGCATCCCAGAAGATTTGTATCTTCACATGTGACCTCCTTAGACCTATGTTTTAGACAAAAGTTTCTCATAAGGACTTTAGATATGTTTGCTAGAATTGCTTACTTATCTAGGATGATTTCTGACTAATATTCTTTTGAAACATGTCTGAAACTCTGTCATAGGCCTCACCTTTGTTTTGTGGCCAACTGGTGTGACTTCCTCAAACTCTTCTCCTAGTTTAAAGGAGATCTCATTATTTTTAAAGATGCTTTTGGTTTTTATTGTGATGACATCTCCATCTGTACTGATGGTCACAGTGGGTTTTGCCAAACAGCCCAGTTTCCTGCTGGCTTTTCCTATACCTGAAAACCAGATAAAAGGAATGTTATCTTTTCACATAAAGAATTACAAATACATTACATTACAATACAATACTTAAATCTGTTGTTGACTCCAAAAACTCAACATTATCTGTATAATTAATTCTTTGCTAACTAGGAGGTTTGCCAGTTGAACAGATTTAATGCTGCATGAGTTCACATATCCCAAGCAAGCAGCTCCATCATTAAATGTTTAAATCAAACAACTATTTTTGCAGAAAAAAAAAAATCTGTCTTTAGTTTTTGTTTAGTGATTATCCTTTTATACTAGTCCAGTAGTTATTAATCTTGTTGATTTTTGGACCCCTTTGAAAATCTCATTAAAGCTATAAACCATCTCCCTATTTTAAAATTATATGCACTCACATACAAACAAAATACTTTGGTATGGATTTTTCCAGATACTTAGCTCTTCACTTATATTCTTACATGTACACATATATGGGTTTGTTTCCTCAATGATGTATGTTTTTATTGTGGTAAAATATTAATAACATAAATTTACCATTTTAAGTTACAATTCAGTGGTGAGTACATCACAATGTTGTACAACCATCATCACTATTTATAGGATTTTAAAAAATATAAATGTTGGCTGGGCGCTGCGGCTCATGCCTGTAATCCCAATACTTTGGGAGGCCAAGGCGGGTGGATCTCCTGAGGTCAGGAGTTTGAGACCAGCCTGACCAACATGGAGAAACCCCATCTCTATTAAAATGCAAAATTAGCCTGATGTGGTGGTGCATGGCTATAATCCCAGCTACTCGGGAGGCTGAGGCAGAAGAATCGCTTGAACCCAGGAGGCGGAGATTGTGGTGAGCTGAGACCATCCCATTGCACTTCAGTCTGGGCAACAGGAGCAAAACTCTGTCTCAAAAAACAAAAAAGTTATATATATTGTTTTTCAACTTGCTTCTTCCCTTATCTATATGTCTTGAAAATTTTCCATGTCACTTCATATAGATATGTATTTTTTCATAGTATATAATATTCCACAGTGTGTATAGACCAGAATTTATTTTGTCTGTCGCTCTTTTAATGAGCAATTCATTTGTTTCTATTTTTGTAATTACAAATAATTACTCAGTGAACATCCTTGTATACGTAGCTCTGTGCAGCACACATAGGAGTGTTTTCAGTAGAAACAGCATTACATATACTGCAATACCTAAGTTAAAATTCTAAGGGAAGATACACTGGGAAAAGTACTATAATATAGTTCATGGAATTCATATCATAAAACATGATCACAGGATGTGACAGACTGGATAATGGTTCCTAAGGATATTCACGCCCTAATCCCTGGAACCTGTGAATGTTACCTTTACATGTTAGGGGACTTTGCAGATATGGTTAATTTAAGGATCTTGAGATGGGGAGTTTATCCTGGATTATCAGAGCAGACCTCAAACACAATCACAAATTTCCTTTGAAGAGGGAGGAAGAGGGACGCTATACTACAGAGGAGGAGAGAGCAGTGTGAAAATGGGAGCAAATTTTCCAGGAGTGTGTAGAGTTTAAAAAAAAGAAAATGGAATCAAAGTTTGGAGCATTGCCACCAAATACTAAAGAAAGCCAGCAGCCAGTAGAAGCTGAAAAATAAGATCTATTCTGAAGTCTATTCTGAAGATCCCTAAATCTTACAGCAAATGTTTACAAAATAATCATTTAAAAAAAATGTTGTGTTTTTTTGTTTTAAAACATTTATTAAAATCACTTGCTGTTTAGTGTAAAGTACATGCCCGCTTTGTTTATGTAAATTCATGGTAACTTACATGAGGGATTATTGTTAACTCCAACGTAGTTTTGCAGAGAACTGTATCTTGGTACTGAATCAATATTTTTTTTCTATGTGAAAAATTAGTGAGTCCAAGATTAATATTATTTTATACAGAGAAAGTTCTGTGCTATCAAAATGGGCATTTTTACTGGATATGAGATGCAAGTAAACATAGCTCACCCAGTTCCTTCATATAGTCTTCAAAATTTTCACAAGAAATGGACTTCCACGTTCCTTGGAGCTGGTCAACCATTCTGTCTGAGTTAAGTTGATCTCAAAGAAAAGTAGTTTCCTATGAATGTGTACGTTGGTGTTCCCTGGAGTAGCATGGGAACTTGTTTTTAATACAATTCTGGGTATAGAATGAGATGAGAAAAGTCAGGGAAAAAAAATAAGGAACTCAAATCCTTGCAATGTTCCTTGAGTATCATCTAAAGCAGAGAAGCTCTCTTAAATGTAAATAAATCAGGATGAAAATGGAAACATGTAAACTATTTAGCAGAACTAGATATAACTTTGCCAACACTAATTTACGATCAAATTAAATGTTAAGTCCCTCCCTAGGACCTGCCAGGCATAGAGCAATGTGTAAGGGCTGGGCTTAGACAGCTGTGTTTATGCCACAGAACTTCCGTGCCCAGGTCTCTGTCTTTCTCTGTCCAAAGGTGATTCAGAAAAAGCCAATTTGTTGGCTATTTGAAGATCATTCTCATTCTTGACAGTTTGAACTAAAAACCAGAGAGACTTCATAGATGGTACTTGACATTTGAAATAAAAAGTTTCATAAAAGCTAGAACAACAATTTTAAGTCATGTGCATAATGAATAAGAGAATGAGACAGGGAAAAAAAGGAAAGAGATCATGTTACACAGATGCTCACACACACACACACACACACACACACACACACACACACAGCCCTGTTACTGACCCTTTCCCAGGTGCCAGCCCAACTTCCCAAAAGCTTAGAGAGCTGTCATTGCCATGAGAACACCAAATATCTTCTAAGTCCTCTTTAATTTAGGCTAGTTTCTGTTCCTCTCAACCTTGACTGTAACATCTCAGTGTCCACGAATATCTGTAAGTCCAAACAGGAGCAAAGGAAGATAACAGCAAATACATCAGCTAGAGAAGAGGAGACTCCAATGCTAAGTAAAGGACAAACATGCCCTTATACAGTCCATCAGCCCCTGAGGACATTGTTATTAATGCTAGGCAGAGCTTGATGTCCATAGGCTGACACAAAGTTATTAAGAAAAACTGAAGTTATAAAATTATTTTAAGATAGGAATGGGGACATAGCATCTTATAATAACTTCCATTAAAATGTCAAATTTCCAAATTCTAACATCAAGGCCAATAGTCTTACTGATAATTACTCAACTAACATTTATGAAGCAACTGGCATTATATGCCTAATATGAGGCTAAAAATTTTGTCTAAACTATTGATTTAATGTTCCAGATATGGTTGGTAAAGATACCATAGTTCGGCTGTGCATGGTGGCTCACCCCTGTAATCCCAGCACTTTGGGAGACCAAGGTGGGTGGATCATGAGGTCAGAAGTTCGAGACTAGCCTGGCCAACATGGTGAAACCCCATCTCTACTAAAAATACAAAAAGTCGGGCATGGTGGCATGCACCTGTAGTCCCAGCTACTCAGGAGGCTGAGGCAGGAGAATCACTTGAACCCAGGATGTGGAGGTTGCAGTGAGCTGATATTGTACCACCACACTTCACTGCACTCCAGCCTGGGAGACAGAGCGAGACTCTGTCTCAAAAAGCAAAACAAAACAAAACATAGTTCATTGGTTGGTTTTCCTTTCCTGAGTAATTTGTATGACTATGCTCATTCAACTTAATAGGCATGAGGCTGAAGCCAGGAAATGACCCAACATTGAGAGTAATCTGGGCACTAAAATTAGGCACTGAAGGCACTAAAATTCCCAGGATTTTTCAAGAAAATGTTGAATGTGCTGCTATTTTTGTTGGATGCACATTGATCCCCTCCCACAAGGAAAATAGTGATTGAAGATCACCTCCTTGAAGAAGATGCCATGTTGGGAGCAGTGTTTTTCCCTGTTGCTGGCAGATTAGACTTGCAGAGACATTAGTACTGAGGTGTGAGACAGAGCCCATGCACGGCTTCTATCTCTGCACTGTGGCTCCTCGGCTCATGTATCCATCACATCAGCTCAGAGACTGCCTACTGTCAGCTGGCTTAGTCATTTTGTCTACTTGGTTGGTCAGTGATTGAACAACCTTCTGTGATTGATGCTTTCTGGTGTTCATTCATACGAGAGCCAAAAATCTTTACATATTATGTCCACTTCTACAGGTTCACACACATTCCTTTCCCACCAAACATTCTTGTCTGCAATGTTTCAGTCCTTCTCCTCCAGGTCCCTGACCAGCTGTTCAGACAATTCACCTCCATCCATGAGTAGATATATAGTCCCATCCCAAGCCACTGTGTCTTCCACATGAAATAGGGAACAGGTGCATGACTCTGAGTTTTGTCCATTGACATGATTTTCCTTACCATTTCCTCAAGTGCCCCACCCACCACCCCAAGTGTAATGAAACCGCTGCCCATTTTTAACTTGCCTCCATACCCTGAGCTGACCAGTACAATAAACATGCTCAGGCTTTTTCTCCTCCTTTAGCTGGTCACATGGGACCCACATACCGTCAGGGGCATGATCTGAAGGAGGGGTGCTGGTACTGCAGTGGTGAGTGACATGGGGACCTGCACCACCTGCTCATGCAGTTACCTTATGACTTCTGGTCTTGTTTAGGCTTGATCCCAGGCGCACAATATGATCTCTGTGGACTGCTGCTGGACATGCCTGACTTGATGACTCTGTGGATCTGACAGAACCTGGCTCATAATGGATAGTTCCAGTTACATTGTTACAGTACTTAGTATCGTGTAGTCAAGAATTCTGTCTCTATGGCGCCTCAGTAACACATGAGGCACTCTTCTGTAATAGGTGGATAAGTCTCTGTTACAGATGGCATGATCTTTCCCCACAACCCCAGACATTGGTGCTATGATGCACATACACACACACACACACACACACACACACACACACACACACCATACACATTACACTGCATATTTTCCTCTCACCAACACCTCCAGCATCCTGGAGTTTACCAATCACATGACTCAAACATCAGGGCAGCTCATACCACAGCCCTTCTTTCCTGCAGAACCTTTCCTGCTTTAAGCTCCACTCAGAGCAGGGAGCCTTTCATGCCATTCAGTATACAGGCTGCAGCACATGCCTAAATGTGCAATATGTTGCCACCATAAGCCAAAGAGTCCCACAAGAATTTTGATAGGAGAGACAAAATGAAGCAATTTGTCTTTTGGAAAAGATAACCTTACATGCCCTTGGCCAAGCTGGACCCCTAAAAACTTTACAAGAGTAGAAGTTGCCTCAATCACCACCAACTTTAACTCCCATATTCTGTGTTGAATGTGTCATACCAAGGCCTCTTGTGTACTAGCCACTTCTTGTTCATCCTGACTGATAACGTGACATTGTGCTAGATGTCTAGACAGCCCAGATCTCCTCCGATTATATTATGATAAAGAGTAGGAGTTAACATAGTCACAGGACAAAATCAATGACTCATGTCTGTAATCCCAGTACTTTGGGAGGCCAGAGCAGGAGGCCTGACCTGAGGTCAGGAATTTGAGACCATCCTGGCCAACATGGCAAAACCCTGTCTCCACTAAAAATTACAAAAATTAGGCCAGGCTTACATCTGTAATCCCAGCACTTTGGGAGGCTGAGGTGGGTGGATCATGAGGTCAGGAGCTCAAGACCAGCCTGACCAACATGGTGAAACCCCATCTCTACTAAAAATACAAAAATCAGCCAGGCATGATGGCAGGTGCCTGTAATCCTAGCTATTTGGGATACTGAGGTAGAGAACGGTTTGAACCTGGGAGGTGGAGGTTGCACTAACCTGAGATCATGCCACTGCACTCCAGCCTGGGCAGCAAGAGTGAGGCTCCAATTCAAAAAAAAAAAAAGTGTAAGCATATATCATTGTCTGTTCCATGCAAATGCAAATTGTTTCTGATCTTTCCCAATTGAGGTAGAAAAGAATGCCAAATATGGTCTGACTGAACACCATGTACCTGACACTGTATTAATCTCCACTATCCAAGATAACACATCAAGTACAGTAGCCACCATTGGAGTTATTAGTTGATTTTTCCCTAGGCTAGAACTACTCTAAGATTCATTTGGATTTTGCAGTGATTAGACTCATGAATTAAATGGTGCTATGATATGAACCACGACCTTCTGCAGTCTTAAAATCCTTTTGACTAGCCCCAATTTCTGCTATTTCTCACTCCTCCCCTGCCACCAAATACAATATTGTTAATTCACCATCTTATCTAGGGCTGGAGAAAGGACAGCAGTGAAGAAGGTGGGGGTGTGAGGGTGCAGTTTCAGAAGCTTCCATTTTGCCTTACCCGTTATACTAATTCTTGTTTGGTTAGAATGAGAAAGGTGACGCTTACTCCAGCAGCCAAGGATGTCAGTCCCAATTATGTATTCAGGGCCTAGGGAAATGACTACTGGAGGAATCCACAGACCTACCGGACCCACTGAGACCTAGACTTTGACCAAAGATCTGTTTATTACCTAGCTGCTGTATGCCTTCACTCTAACATGATGATTTTTGAACTCTGAATCAACAGTAATTCAGACCCAAGGCTATAAGAATACCTGGGTAGTCCTCTTTTCTCATTGCATATTATTTCAAGTAAATGATAACAGATCTCTTTGGAGGAAAATGTGGAAAATTAACAGTTTATGATATTTCAGGGTTATTCCTTCTGTGGGCTTGTCACCTATTGAGCCAATGGTTTCTGGGTCTGAAAATTGTCTCAGATCTGGAATCTGGGCAATGGATCATGACTTTCTACTGGGGTGACCATCCTTAGTCTGCTGCCCATCCATTCTTGCCTTCTTTTGAATGTATATATGAAGCAGCACCCTTGTTGGCTATCCATCTATTTTGCCTCTATGGATTCAATGTTATTTTAATCATCTCCATAACCCCTTTCAGGTCAAACACCCTTAGCCATGCCTTCAACCTTGCCCCATTTTATGGTAAAGTACAATCAATCCCCTGGTTTCTGGCAGTAAAGTGCTGCCATCTGGCCCAGATTGTTTCAAATTCTCTTCATCCCCATTGCTACCAATGAGCTGAACTCTGACAATCCAACGAGAGCAGCCGCTAAAACTCTTACTGATGCTGTGGCCCCTCTCACCAGTGCAACCTTGATGGTCTGGTAAACATGAAAAAATCTTCTGGATTCTCTTATGGAACGTACTTAGTGACTGCTCTTCTGACATATATATGCATACACGTGCACGCACATACTAAAAGTACTGTGACTATATTTATCCATCACAGAAGCACAGATCTCATAACTTTCCTACAAAGTAAGAGAGGAAAGCTCCACCACCCGAGATCTTCCAGCTTTTTG